TGAGGCTGTAATTGGCTGGGAAATTGGAACACTCATCCATTGCTAATGGGAATGCAAAATGGTACAGCCTTTGTGGAAAATAGTGTAGCAGTACTTCAAAAAAACTAAAAACTGAACTACCATATGCCCCAGCAACTCCACTCCTAGGTGTATCTCCAAAAGACTTGAAAGCAGAGACTCAAAAAGAGAACTGTACACCAATATTCATTGTAGCAATATTCACAATAGCCAAAATATGAAAACAATATAAATGTCCATCAGCAGATTAATGGATTTTAAAAATCTGATACATACAACAGGATACTACTCAGTCAGTAGGAGAAATGAAGTTTTTTTAAAAAATACATTTTATTGAAATATAATTTATGTACAGTGAAATACACAAAACAAAAGTGACATGGGTTTTTTTTTTTTTTTTTTTGGGCAATGTTCCCTGCACTCCCCTCCCATCCCTGCTAACCAACAAAGAAAGTTTCCTTCTACATATAAACTCTTTCTTGATTTTTTACAACAATGAACTAATACAATATTTGTCCTTCAGTGACTGACTTATTTCACTCAGCATAATGTCCTCCAAGTTCATCCATGTTATGTGGGGTTTTGCAGACTCTATATTATTCTTTAGTGCTGCATAGTATTCCATTGTGTGTATGTACCATAGTATGGTCATCCATTCTTCTGCTGATGGGCACCTAGATTGTTTCCATCTTTTTGTGACTGTAAATAGGGTGGCAATGAACGTGGGTGTGCATATATCGGTTCTTGTCCTGGCTCACACTTCTTTAGGATATATACCTAGTAATGGGATTGCTGGGTCAAATGGTATTTCTAATTCCAGCTTTTTAATGAATCACCATACTATTTTCCACAGTGGTTGTATCATTTTACAGTCCCACCAGCAGTGTATAAGAGTCCCAATCTCTCCACATCCTCAGCATTTGTTATTTTCTGTCTTGTTGAACTTTGCCATTAGTGCTGGGGCAAGATAGTATCTCGTTGTTTTGATTTACATCTCTCTGATGGCTAACAATTGTGAGCATTTCTTCATGTATTTGCTGGCCCCCTGAATATCCTCTTTGGTGAAGTGTCTATTCATGTCTTCTGCCCATTCTTAAATTGGATTGTTAATCTTTCTGTTGTTGAAGTGTTGGAGTTTTCTATAAATTTTAGAGATAAGTCCCTTGTCAGATACATCGTTGTCAAATATTTTTTCCCAATCTGTAGCTTCTCTTTTGACTCTTTTGGAGAAGTCTTTAGAAGCACACAAAAATTTAATTTTTAGAAGGTCCCATTCATCTAGTTTATCTTTAGCTGTTTGTGGATTTTGGGTTATGCTTGACTGTCTATTTATGCTACAAATTAGGGCCCCTAAACTTGCCCCTATTTTTCCCTTGAGGAACTTTATAGTTTTAGATTTCACATGTAAGTCTTTGATCCATCTGGAGTTAGTTTTTGTCTGTGGTATAAGGTACAGATCTTTTTTCATTTTTCTTCAAATGGACATCCAGTTTTTCCAGCACCATTTGTTAAAGAGACCATCTCTTCCCCACGTAATAGATTTCAGCCCTTTGTCAAAACTCAGCTGACCATAGGTCGATGTATTTATTTTTTGGGTTCTCAATTATGTTCCATTGGTCTATGTGTCTGTTGTTGTACCAGTACCAGGCTCTTTTGACTACTGTGGCTGTATAGCAGATTTTGAGATCCAGGAGTGTGAGGCCTCCTACTTTGTTGTTCTTCTTCAATAGTGCTTTGCTAATTCGATGTCTCTTTCCTTTCCATATAAAATTAGTGATTGCTTTTTCCATATTCTTAAAGAATGCTGATGGGAGAGAAATGAAGTTTTGATACATGCTACAGTATGGATGGAACCTGAAGACATTATGCTGAGTGAAATAAACCAATCACAAAAGGATACATATTTTATGACCTCACTTATATAAAAAGGCAACTGTATAGAGACCAAAGTTTATTACCATCTCCAGAGGGAGGGGAGAAAGGAAGGGTTAGCAGTGATTGAAAAAATGTCATTGATTAAGTGCAGGGTATTACAGCTGATAGTTGTGCTTTCAATAAGTTGTACATGTGTAAAAAGGTAAAATGGCAAAACTTGTGTGATAGATATAATTACAGCAATGAAAAACAAACAAAGAAGAGTAGCTGCTAAGGTTGCTTATGTACAACCAAATAACTCCTGGGATTTGGTTCCTTGGTTTGGAGGTTTAGGATCATGGTTTTATGAGACTTTCCAATAAATTGGCCTAATAACACATTTAGTACTTCTGTTCTACCTCCTAATTCATTGCATAGTGCCTGGGGTCTTAAAAGCTTGTAAGTGGCCATCAAAGGCACAATTGTCTCTATACACCTGGAGCAACAGAGGAAGAAGGAAAGTCAGGAACAAAGGAGAACATGGAATATGTGGCTTACTGCCTCCATGAACAACTGCTTCCTTTGCCATGAGACCAGAAGGGCTGGATGGTGCCTGGCTACCATTACTGAACACTTTGATCAAAGATTCCATAGAAGCATCCTGATCAAAAGAGGAAAATACAGAACAGAATTTCAAATTCTCACAGACTCTACACTTTCTGGAGCCATGGAGGGTACATGAATCCCTGAAACTATTGCTCTGAGATAATCTTTAAAACCTTAAAACAAAAATAGCCCCGAAATTTTCAAACTTAACAATGTTGTTTTGTTGTTAGGTGCCATCAAGTCAGTTCAGACTCATAGCAACCCTGTGTACAACAGAATAAAACAATGGCCAGTCCTACAACATCCTCACAATCCTTGTTATGCTTGACCCCACTGTTGCAACCACTGTGTCATCCATCTCATTGATGGTCTTCTCCTTTTTTACTGATCCACTACTTTACCCAGCATGCTATCCTTCTCTAGGGACTGGTCCCTTCTGACAACATGACCAAAGTATAAGAAACAAAGTCTGGCCGATTCTTGCTTCTAAAGAACATTCTGGCTATACTTCCTCCAAGACAGATTTATTTGTCCTTCTAGTAGTCCACAGTACCTTCAATATTCTTAGCCAACACCACAATTCAAAAGTATCAATTCCTCTGGGTCTTCCTTATTCACTATCCAGCTCTTACATGCATATGAAGCTACTGAAAATACCATGGCTTGGGTTAGGCACACCTTAGTCTTCAAAGCTTCATCTTTGCTCTTAAACACTTTAAAGAGGTCTTTTGCAGCAGATTTGTCTAGTGTAATATGTCGTTTGATTTCTTGACTGCTGCTTCAATAGATGTTGACTGTGGATCCAAGTAAAATGAAATCTTTGGCATTGTCAGTATTTTCTCCATTTATCATTAAGTTGCTTACTGGTCAGTCCAGTTGTGAGGATTTTTGTTTTCTTTATGTTGAGGTATAATCCATACTGAATGCTGTGTCTTTGATCTTCATCAGTAAGCGCTTCAAGGCTTATTATTAATTTTAAGCAAGCAAGGTTGTGTAATCTGCATATCACAGGTTGTTAATTAGTCTTCCTCCAATCCTGATGTCACATTCTTCTTCATGTAGTCCAGATTCTAAGATTATTTGCTTAGCATACAGACTGAGTAAGTATGGTGAAAGGATACACCCCTGACGTACACTTTTCCTGATTTTTAAACGTGCAGTATTCCTTTGTTCTGTTTGAATGACTGCCTCTTGGTCTATGTAAAGGTTCCTCATGAGCACAATTAAGTGTTCTGAAATTTCTATTCTTCACAGTGTTATCCATAATTTGTTATGATCCACATAGTCGAATGCCTCTGCATAGTCAATAAACCACAAGTAAATATCTTTCTGGTATTCTTTGCTTTTAGCCAAGATCCATCTGACATCAGCAATCATATTCCTCATTCCATGTCATTTTCTGAATCTGGCTTGACCTGGCAGTTCCCTGTCAATGTACTGCTGCAACCATTTTTAAATTATCTTCAGCAAAATTTTTTTTTTGCTCTCCCCCTTCTCAATTCCAGCCTTGTTCTTCACTCCCTTGGAAGAAATATATGTCAGGGTAGAAAATAAAAATTATATGCATTGAATCCTGGATTTTGTTTTCCAAAGAGCTTTAGGTTTCTGGCAAAATAAAGAAAGCTATCGAGGTATCAGAGAATGGGAGAATCATAAGTACAGAAAGAGTGACCCAAAGAATCAGAGGAAGAGCAAGGTTCTCCACTCCAGACTGAAAAGCAGTAATCAATGTCTTATATTCACGCTTCATGGTACAACTCTTAGATAAGGGAGGTAAAGGAACACTAAGAATGACTGACATAAAATTGTAGTTGTCCACTAGCTTACTGAAACAACAGCTCTAACAGCTAATAATATTGACTGCCTATAATGTACTAGGCTGTATACTCAGATGTACTGGTACTGGTACTATTATCTTCCCCATTTACTTAGAAAGTAAATTATTTTCCCAAAATTAGTTAATAAGAGGTAATTGTTGTCTGCTTCTAGAACCTTTACCTAGAATCCTAACCTAAATGTTCAGATTACTGTTGTTTTTAGGTGTCATCGAGTTGGTTCCAACCAACAACAACCTTACATATAACAGAATGAAACACTGCCCAGTCCTGCACCACCCTCACAACCATTGCTATTATGGGACCCACTTTTGCAGCCACTGTGTCAATCCATCTCATTGAGTGTCTTCTTCTATTTCACTGACCCTCTACTTACCAAGCATGATGTCCTTCTCCAAGTATTGGTCTCTCCTGGTCAGACTAATAACCCAAATAATGTACTTACATAATTAGCATAAGCAAAGCAACCATATAATCAAAGGCTGCCATTTGATAACAATAACAGTGAAAAGGTCTAGATTAAGAACAATATTTACATAGCTAATTCTATACATTGATTACTAATTGGAATACATTATAATACAGAATACATCTTTAGAAGTTCAATGCCTCTTTGGGTTCTGCTCACTTTACTTATTTTAAATGAATAATCTAGAAAATAATATTCAAGAAAAAGATATTACTCACATGTTTACTTCATCTTCATTTAATAATTGCATCACTAGCAGGGTAATATGAAAGGAACCATCACTGACCATTGCTTGGGCCAGTCGCTTATCTTGTTGTATTATTGCATTTTGCAGGATCTTAATTCCTTTTGTAATCTACTCATACACACACACACAAAAAAAATTAGAGATTAGGTAAGAAAAAATTTCCTATGGCAAAATGTAAATCAAAAAGAAAATTTCCAACCAAAACTAGAGCAATGTCAAGATTCTTAACCCAAATAAATGCTTATCTACTTGTCTACTTTTTCACATATACCCTGGATAATTGACTTGGAAGGCCTAATAGGAGATATAAATTAAAAAACAAAACAAAACACAATACCTGTCCATTTAACAACACCAGGCCCAACACTCTCATTTTATAGATGATGTCTTTGGTGGAGTGGAAAAACTCTCAGTGATCATGTATTTTTTCAGAAGCTTGTCTTTCAAATAGTAACAATGGTCACCCTAACTATGAGCTTTCCTAAAAATGCTTTATTCTTGCCACAGAAAGGTCAAACCAGCATATAACATTGCATTTCTGTTTAAAGTAGTATTTATTTGCTTCCAAGTGAATGTGTCTAAGAACCCATTCCTCATGGCTTTTAACATTTTTTAGGACAGTAAAAATGTCAACAGGAATGACTAGTCATTTTTCTAGACCTGTGGGAAGGAACACAACTATGGAGATATAGGAGCAGAGAAGTCCAAATGTGTACGTTAGAAAAATCGCTACAAGTTCACATCTAGACCTGGTCACTTATCTGCCTTTCCCTTTCCAGTATCTATTCCTTTAAAATAGGAAGAGGAAGGATGCATTCTCCCACCTCCACTCCCAGTTAGATCTCAAATCCAGTCCACTTCTGCTAAAGGGGCAGGGAAGTGACATCTTCTGACCTCCTCTAACTATACAAGAGGAAGACAGAATCATCATCACCAGCCCACGGTCTGTTCCTATGAGGCCAGACATGGCACCACCCTCTGGCCTCTGACCAACCTTGACACCAACCCTCCCTCCCGTGGCACCCACCTCTCAGCTGGGTTTGATAATTCGCTGCAGTGGCCACACAGCACTCACAGATTATGGGGTTTATTAGGGAAGCAACAGACTACAATTCAAGTTCAGGAACATGCTCAGGATACAGTTCTTTAGTCAGGACAGTCTCCCCTCTGCTGTGCCCCTAGACACACCCCTCTGGCCCTTGGCCTCTCAGCCTGGCCTCTGCCTCTGTGGGCCAGGTAAGCCTGCTGCTCCATCTCATGCCTCTTGGTTCCATTACCACTGCCTCTCAGCCAGGTATTTCTCTCAGCCAGGTGTCTCTCTCTCCCCCCCAGTTGGGCATCTCTCTCTCAGCCAGGTGTCCCTCTCTCAGCAGTACATCTCAGCAACACATCTCTCAGCAACACATGGCTCTTAGCACCGTGTCTCTCTCAGCTGGCAGTCAGATTCTTTCTGCCTCTAGAAGGGCTTGTTTTGAGCCTGGCAGAGTGGCAAAACCAACCAATCCCAACACGAGAGTTCTACACACCTGAAAGAAAGCAAACTTTCCCAGAAGATTACTTCATGCTGCTGCAACAAAAATACCCCAGGTGGGTGACTTTAACAATCAAGAGTTTAAATTGCATGGTCCCACCCAATAATCCAGTGAGAGTTAAAAAGACTGGCTAGACAAGCCTCACCATGTAATTTACTACATCACAACTTCTAAATGTTGGTGTATTCAAAAAGAGGTCATGTACCAGAGACACAAAAGACCTCTACAAAGAAAACTATAAAAAGCTACTTCAAGAAACCATAAAAGACCTAAATAAATGGAAAAACATCC